AAAATGAGTTTGGCCTTAATGCTAGCTTCACTTGTAGTTCTCCTGGTTGAAAATAGTCAAATTTGCAAAACCACAGAACTTGTTAGCATCACTTCTTGATCACGAACCAGTTAGTTACAATCAAAGGATCATTTATCTTATTTATTTTATATGGACACAACCTTTTTTTTCTACTATGAGTTCATTTAGTCTTGATTCCTGCATGTCTTCTTCAAGATTGTTGTTACAGATCAAACATTGCAGTATCACCCTAAATTGTTGGGAAGCCAGTGTGAAGCCAGCAGTTCAAACCATGGACTATAAAACATGAAACATGAAGTTAAATGATTGAATATAAGCAAATATTATTGAATAAAAATCAAACATGTACATAACAGCTGTAAATAACACACACATCTATATCTAATTTTAACTCCTCAGTTTTTCATCCTTTATTTTCTCTTTTGTATTATTGCTGAATATGAATATCTTATCTTAAATCAACCGTCCGGAAAATTTCAAAAAAAGTCCTAATGGTTACTACAAAGGGAGTCAAAAGCAGTTCAGTCAAAGCAGTCGTCAGTTTAGGTGAGAGTCACCCTGAAATTGGGGTTGAAGGCACCCTGAGTGCAAAAACAGTGTTAGTGGACACAGGCCCTTACTCTCAATCATCAGACCCTGAGCTTATTTGTTCTTGTGTACAACCCCTTTAAAACATTTAACTTCTGTTTCATAAATTCCCCATAATCCCTGACTAAATTATAATCATTCCCCCCAGTCTACATTAAATTGTACAACTAAATCACAAAGTTTGCAGTGACAGGTCATCTGAAATCCCCCTCCTACCTAAAACCATCACTGGAGACGTCGCCGTCCTCCCCTTGTTTTAAAGATGCCTCAGGTAAAAAGCGATTCATCCCACTGCACTCCCCCTCTCTCCCTCCCGCCAGACAAAGTGTTGGAGCTGAAAGCTCTATCAAACCCTGATGGGCCTCCTAATGTAATTTCTCACAAGGTAAAAGCTCATAATGTATCCTCATATTCGCTGAGGTCAGTTTAACACAATAGGGTCTTTCATTTGCTCCCTACTCTGTTTGGTCTCAGTAATAGCATCCGAAACTGCACAAGATGGAGCAATATTGAATGGATCTCAATGCGATGACATTGACACTGGGTCACATTATTCACTTTAAAAGCGGTCTAATGTTTTAAAAGGCTATTCACAAGTTTTCTCCATTTTAATACAAGGGCCAGTCCAAGTCCCTGGTATTAGTGAGTATTTTTAGCGATGTCACCAACTGCTTTCTACATGGATAAGAGAATTTTGATTGAAAATGATTGTGAGCCACATGTACGCTGCAAACTAGAGATTTGTTCAGTCTTATCTTTCCAGAAATGTACATTCGAGGAAGCAGTTGTTTGCTAAATCTAAGATATCTTTTTCACAAAGTTGATTCTTACTGACAGAAGCATGTCTACCTCCATAACAGTAGGTGGTAACACGTTCACCTCATTACTCCTGAGTTGTTTCCTGGTTTATTTGTCACGTACCAAATCACACGTATTTGCAGGGGGCTAATCAGCGACAAAAACACAGTCACAGTCGCAGCTCTGTACCTTTTGTTTGTACGATCCAACGACATTATTTTACATCCTTTCTTCTTCTGTTGAGGTTTTGTTTGCCACTCACCTGCCGACCAATGTACTCATGCCACTCAGCTTCCAGATTAAACCCTGGCGTGCAAACTCTGGAGAACCCATATAACACTTAGGCCAGTTTCAGTCTGATTGAGTTGTATACATGGAAAACTGTCCTTCAGCTGCATTATCCAGGTATGCTAGTGAGACTATCTGAGGTTCAATTTAGTGCGATTTCAGCCAGGCTAACGCTTTAACCGGTGTTTAAAAACTCCTGTTTCAATCAGATTAAAGCAATAAATCATTTTTTTTAGGATGACATGCAAATGTAGTGACTGCTAGCTTAACAGGCGTCGACTGACTTGAAGCCACCCGACATTGAAGCAGACTCGAGATCTAAAGGAGAGCCTCCCGATAGCATGTTGTAACCTGTCATTAGTCTACGGCCTTGCTAAGACTTGAATCGTCTCAGGAAGTATCAGTGTAAACACAAAAGTACTAAAAAGACAGAAAACGATGTAGTGCATATGCCAAGCCAGTAAGCGGCGCCGTAACGCTGCCTGGGAAATGCAAAAAAGACAGAAGAAGAGTATGGAGCATGCAAATACAAGTGTTTTGGACGGACTCGCACAGGCGCCTTAAGATAGGGTGATAAACTGTCCTCTTTTACTCTGACATCCTATTTTTTGGTGGGCTGTCCGGCTTCGTCTGGGGAGTTTATAAAATCCTTCAAATGTCTGGGGTTTTGTATGGAAGTTTTGAGTTTGTGTAGCGTGGGTTAACTAAGTTGCAAGCGCCTAAAAACCACCTGACCTGACCTGAAAAACCCTTAAAATTTACTACGTGCAACTCTGCAACTCCGCCCTGATTGGTAGTGTCCTCTTTTTGGGGATTCAAAATATGGTCACCCTACTTAAGAAAATGATGCAGATAAACATTCACACTGAGATGAAGTGGTAGTTGTGTAGTAGTTGTGTGCACATTTATGCTCTCTGGAACCTGTTTTAAAACAAAATCGTTTACAGTCACACGAAACACTGTTTTTCATTTGGATGAAACACCGATACAAAAAAAAATTCTGAATTCATATGTTGCAGGTAAGAAAGGTAAAGTTTTTCACACACAGGATCTGTATAAAACAGAAAAAAGAACCAAATCAGAATTTAAACATGAACAAAATGCTGTAAATGAAATTAACTTTTAAACTGTTTTCAGTTGGATTAAGATGGGTTAACAGCTGATATTTCAGTCAGTCAAAGGGCAATCAGTTAGCCTCGTAACTATGATTTAATTCAAAGATAATTAAAAATTAATGGATTTTAGATGACAAATAATAAAAGTACATCATGATCCATAAAAGTCGAATTTATCAGAAAAACACTTGACCAGATGTGAACAGATACATAGGGTACATCCTGAACAACATATTTGAGTTTCACGATTCTTTTTTTTTTTTTTTTGTGCCCTGCCGCCCCAGGTGTAATCCTGTGACAGTGATGGCTGACAGTGACAGATTGACACGGACAGATTAAACGCTGGCTGTCACACAGTTTCTTCCCTCTGCAGAGAAGCATCATTCCTGTGTTCTGCCTTTCAGGTCAGAAGGAATCAAACGTTAATTGACTTCGATTCCCGCACAAACATGTCCACACCACGTTTCATCATTAGACGGGAAAACTCGTACATGCAGTGATTGAAAATGCAGTAAACTATTCTGACAGGGTTGAAGAGAGGTCAGTCTCTAACCCTGTGTTTATAAAACAGTGATCGGTTGTTCAGAGAGGATTGTGCACTCCTTCACCTCTTTAAAACTTCCCTCACGCTGAAGTTTTGGAAGAATGTGAAAGTAAAATAAAATGTAGACTGGAGCCGTGTGAGGTGGACTCAAAGGGTTCTCACGGATAGGAAGTTATAAGAATTTAATTCATGTCAAGATGTGAAGTTATCAAAAAGTAATGCACCATGCCGGAGAGTGATAACCGAACTTCCTACATAACTTTTTTAGAAATGATGATGTAACTTTTAAAAAATGGAAACATTCAGGGAAAATATGCTTCTGTATCTTTTCAAAACAAAAGAAAAACTTTTCTTGGACTTCTTCACATTGGCTTTTGTTAAAGCTTCTGATGTTTGTGTTGATTCTGGCGCCCCCTGTGTACAAACGTGTTCTCTACATTATGTAAATCGTGTCTCCTGATTTAACCCATCCCGCCGTCTTCATCAGCTACTCACACTGATTCTTTGCCATAAATATGCAAGAAAATAATCATTTTTTTCTGACACCTACCCTGCAGCGGTTTTAATTAAAAATAATCAATGGGACTAATTAGTCTTCAAACTGAAGGCCTTTTTAGCTTTTGCAGGTTGTTAAGAGGCATCAGTATTAATTTCATTGTAACTCCTTACAGGAGCTTTGATGAACAGCAGATTTTAAAATGGAAATAATTTGATTTTTCTGAAATTCAAGGGAAGACAGGTCTCCAGAGCGGGCTTTTGTCTGATGGATCGCCACACTGTCAGTGCAGAACTCCTATTGAGGCGGGGTCTGCGATGTCAGGGATCAACTTCAGCGTGGACTTGATGAATAACTTAAATGGAGGAAATGAAAATACCCTACTACTACTGCTTTATTTAATGATTGCTACGGAGGTTTGAAGTGAAGCTTCAGTGATTTATTGATGATGGAAGATGACTACAGCTGCAGGTTTCAGGTGATGCAAAATGTAAAAATCATCATCTGCACTGTTTTAGGTTCATAGTATTTAGTGTAATCCCTATAAGGAAGAGCAAAGTGATTTGAGCATGCTGGAAAGTTATGACGCAAATTAGTTTAATTAGCTGGGACGAATTTAAGCTAAAAAGCCTGGAGCTAATTTAGCCCAGTGGTTTTTCAGCATAGGAAGAGCAGTTGTCTTTAATTCAACAAAGCTGTAACAAAACAAAGTTATAGTGTTAAAATACAACCTAAAGGATGCATTCAGTATTCAAATTGTGTTCATTTTGTTAATTTTTGTTGCTTTTGTGCTTGATTCAACTCTAATTTGGACACAGACTTAGTTAAAGGCATTAGAGGTGTAAACTTTATCTGTAAAAAGAAATATAATATCTGGATTTAGTCTAATGAACTCCATAACCCCCAATTTCCACCGCATCTGGAACGGCTACCAAAAAAGGCCATATTCACGGATCGCAGCTGATCATAACCATTCAAGTTACCTCCACTTTCCACTGGCTTCCTTCCGTTCCACTGCAGATCGCCGGACTCTGCAGCTGATCGCAACAGTTCAATTTATTCCGGACACCACAGCGTGCTGCATAAATTCAGCACAGATTAGTCTGTGCTGGAAAGGGAGTCGGGAATGGACACAAAGTAAAACATCTGTCTTCTTTTCAAAATCAAACAGTCTGTGTTTCAGGTGGATCGTATTTCACACCATGCAAACAGGTGGGGATGAACAAGTGAAGGGTTTTTCGACAGCATTTCACCCCATTCTGGATCGAAGCCACTCCGGATGCCACGGAAATTGGGGGTAAGAGTGTTTAAGTCCTGCTAAGTCTATAATGCTAAAATGCTATATTTCAATTTAACAAAATGTGACTGGTTTACCCCTTTTGAGGACAAAGTTGGCACAAAAATTAACTACTTTGGAAGAGTTATAAACCTGTTTTGAGTTGATTTTAAGACGAGCATTAAGAATAAAAACAAGATTAGCTAGAAAGGAAGTGTTTTCTCATCCAGACTTGTCGAGCCTGGAATCAACAAGACAACAAGCATTTTCACCTCCACTTTCAGCTCAAAATGTTTCTCCCATTGTTAGCTGTGGCATCAGGTTTACCACGTAAGAGTCATTCAGCTTTGTATAAGACTGGACACAAAGAGGAGTGTCCCTGAGGCTATTCAATGTCAATGTAAAGAATACTTTACATTGTGAAGTATAACATGCTGTCCTGCAGGGAGAAAAAACATCCTCATCTCCCCTGGAATAAATAATAATACTTAGCTTCCAGGCAGACTGAAGCAAACAGTGCAGATGATTTGAGAAGCCTGCCAAGCAGCAGAACAATATGGCGGGACATTCGGCTGAGCACCACAATGACACTGAGCCCTGCAAACAGCCCAACGTCATTACATACAGTAGCTTTTAGACAGCTTTAAGGATGCTCTGCAATAAGCATGGGTGGCAGGGAAGCAAAGCTGCTGCACAGTGGCAGCCAGACAAGAAGCTGTTTATCCTTTCAGGCAGCAAAGTGGCTTGACATGTCATTTCTGCTGCCCAGTGCACTGCCCCAGCATGCTTTGCAGCCTGGAAATGTCGTGACCATTATCTGGTATTGTATAAGCTTTGCAGAAGCTGTCAGCTGCAACACATGTCTCGGATGTATGATTGTGAGAGTGACTGTCAGGCATATGGAGTTTCAGGGGTTTAGGAATGCAGTGTGACTGCGGGTGTCGAAATTGATTCATTCAATGTTTTTAAGGCAGTTTTTTTTCTCTCTCTGTGAAAAAAATTCTAATTCTATTTTAAAATAAAACACTGCAAATGATATTACATAAAAATAATCACTTACAAAAATAAAAATAAATACCTGCCATAACCGTTTGGCTGAGGATCTACTGCGAGAAAAATATGTTAAAAATAATTACATGGCTACTTTTTTCTTGGCTGTTGCTCCTGGTCTTGCAGGAACACATTGCTACACACACAGGCACCGGTTGCCATGACAACCCCTCTGTTGTTAAAATGATTTATAATATATTGAGCACTATTGGATACTAATGCAAACCACCAAAATACAGTATGCCTCCTGTTTACCCTGAAGTTCTTTTTTTTTTTTTTTATACACTGACATTAATGAAAGACTCGGTCGGTAAACGTGACAATAATGTAATTAATATACGCTTCGTTTTTAGCCAGAGCGGTGGCCTTGCATTGAAATTCATGTGTTTATCACTTTAAAATACACAATGCATTCACCAGCTCATTAATAATAGTTGCGCACAGCTTTGGGCACGGAGCTGCAAGTGTCTGAGTAATTGATTTTGCAACAAAAGCAGAGAAAGTATTTTAATAAAGCATAATTACAGCATATTCTGCACATGATAAAAAATGACCAGTCGTTTATAATGCATTATATGCTGGTGTATTATTGACCACAAAAAGAGGAGTTTTCTGTCTCTGAGGATGTAAAAAAAAACAAAAAACCTTGCCTCAGTTCGCTTTTGTCTTACATAATTCATCGACTGTTGACCCTTTGTGCAGAAGTCAGAGATGTCCATTAAAATCAGTAATTAGCTTGTCAATTCTTGTCTAATAAGAATTGTAAATGCAGTTTTTCTAAGCGCCTGCTTCGGCGTTATGAGGGGGTTTTATATTGTGTTGAGTCTGGTGACCCTGCTGGATAAATTTGATAGTTTTTTTTCAACCCCTGATGAAATCATGTGTAGATAAATGTTCATCAAAGACCTTTTTTCCATTACAAATAATATATTTAAGAAGAAATCACTGCTAATAAAACGTACATGTTTTTGGTCATTTCATATCCTTACTTTCTGCATCTGATCACTCACTCAAAATTAAAGGAGTGCATTCAAGCTGAGTTTGATGACAACTGCTCTGCAGGTGTGAATCCTCTCTGTCTTCATGCCTTTTACTCAGTTTTATTCATGAACTTTTATTGATGCACGTCGGTGATGAAGACACAATTTATGTATGAACGTGATCTTAAGTTTGTCAATGACTAACAGGTGACTGCAGGTTAATATTTGCAGTTAGTGGTTTTTGCTGCTACTAACATAAACAGCTCAAAACCTTGATTTATCCAAGTTCAGAGGTATATAAGACGTCATATTTAGTAAAAAACAGGTGATCATCCACATTCAGATTACTTGTTCTAATAATTAAACATTCAAAATTGGATTTTGTGTCCTGCTGATGAGATTTTCTAAAAGATTAGACACTAAAAAGCATTTTAAAAACTGCAGGGAGGAGGCAGGTCTAATAAAAGTGTGGGTGTCAGAGGTGGACTTAGGGTGTAGCTCAGGGGTGCCCCCGCCCCTTTAAAATCTTGATTATACATTCCAAATCCTAAACTATAATTGGCTCATTGCCCTATTATGGAAATTATGTTACAATCAACTAGTTTTGCTTTTGGCTGTAAATAACATTTTTTGTGAGTATTTGAAATTGCGACAATATCCTTTTTTGAGCACTTAAAGATTTAAGATGATGAAGATTATCTCATATATTGCTGCTGTGTTGTGTTACTTTAAAACAAGCTGGTATTTATATATATGATATATTTTTAAGTTATCCAATATCACTGGATGGCAATGTAAAAATAATTTAGGTGTTAATTTATTTAGTGGAGGCCTCTATCTCATTGTTGTTTGTTATAATTTATCGACACTATGAGGGACTTGATTTCGACACTCCGAGAATGGAGAGGTGACTTGAAGGTGCGAAAAGTGATGTGTCCCCATCTATAAAGGTGTTCAACACATAGCAAATTGCTAGCATGCTGGTTTTTCAGTACACAGAGGAAGGTCATATGCGCTCAATGGGTGTTTTGATGTAAGTGTTCAGTTCCATGAAACCCATTTTCCACTGTATTGATTCTGCCCCCTGCATCACGCACAGCCGGTAAAGGAACTTTCAATACATCCTACCAGCACCAGCAGGGCTGAAATAAGCCTCAACTGTGACTTATAAAACATGTATTCACACACTTTTGACCACAAGGGGGCAGCAGGAACAAGGCATCAACACAACATGGCCTTACTTTCAAGGTACTGCCACCTTTTTAAACACATTTGGAAAACTTGTGAACCATCTGGAGAGTGTGGGTTCAATATTCACTCTGATTCCTGAGGGAAATATCTGCCTCTTTGAAAGCTGAATGCAACACCGTGTTCTCCAGCTGCTGTTAAACTGCCGTTTGATGCTGAACAGGTAATGAGCAATACAGCCAGAGATTTGTTTTTGTTATTTTCCTTAAAACAGCCGCCTGCTGGGGCTGAAGCAACACCAAGAGAGCGGTTACAGAGGAACAAATCGCTGAAATTGGGCAAATAAACGCTGGGATCATACTCACAATAAAGCTCTGTAAAACAAAGAGGACGTACTTCTTAGTTTTTTTAACTGAAGCTGTAAGCAAGGGACAGAAATTTATGTAGGATATGATATGGAGTCTCTGAGTTGTCAAAGTAATGTTTTAATTGACAGTGTTGCAATCATCTGAAAGTGGGTGGGAGTACCTTCCTTGATAGACAGACTACTGTAACCAATCAATGTAACCAAGCATCTGACATCATCACAGATGCTTGGTTACGGTGATTGGTTACAGTAGTACATGGACCAATCAGGGGCTGCCTTCCCCTGTTGTCCGGGTAAAAGTGAAAACACGGTCTTTGATTCGCCCGGTTATTTTCTGATCGGGCATACACGCTCTCTATGGGCCGAAGTCCAGACTGTTGTGGGAAGGAACGTCAAGTGATTCACACAACAGGATGGCACAGCCAAGCTAGGGAGCACTTAGTATTGCCACCCCAGCCTGGCACCTCTCACCAGTGGCAACTCCAGAGTAGAAGAGAGTCCAGCCCCTCTCAAGAGAACTGGTTCCAGGGCCCACGCTATGTGTTGAGGTGAATCCAACTATATCTAGACTGAACTTCTCCACTTCGCACACCAGCTCAGGCTCCTTCCCTGCCATGGAGATGACATTCCACATCCATAGAACTAGCCTCTACAGCCAAGGATCAGACCGCCAAGGCCTCCGCCTTTGGCCGCTGCCCATCTCACAATGCCCATCCCATGGGTGGTGCCCATGGGAAGGGTCACCCCACCCCCAGGCCTGGCTCCGGGGGGGGGGGTAACCCACGTCAGGGTTAGGGGAAACTTGGTGCCAAATAGTTTGTCCACCATAAGGGGTCAGTTTGAGCTACTCTTAGTCTGGTCCCTCCCCCAGAGCCTGTTTGCCAGAGGCATTAAGCCCGAAACAACATAGCTCCTGGGATCATTGGGACACACAAACCCCTCCACCACGGTAAGGTGGTATCTTGAGGAGGGGAATAAAAACCCTCCATGGGAGGGAAAAACCACAAGGTTTTTTTTTTTTTTTTTTTGCAAAAAGCCTTTTTTGGGGTGTTCAAAGATTTTGAACATGTGATCAAGGGAACCTGTGTTTTCACTAGTGTTTATGTGAAAAGTGATAAAATCGGAGAGTGTATGTGCCCAGATACTAAATATAGTATGTTAACAGAAATGGCTGTATTTAAAAAAACTACAAGGACTTATATCAAATACTTTGTACCGTTGGATTCAGAACAAGTTAAATTTTAATAATATGTGCTTTCATCCAGAGTAACACCATCATGTAATATGATAACTTAATGGTAAAAAGTTAGTCAACTTCGTGTACTAAGTAAAGCATAATGCATTTGTCAAATAGATTTTTTTTTGTACGTGTGTGTAGCCACATGTCTTGACAGTATCCATAGCAAATTTTGTGTTGCTATTTCTAGCAGAAAAAAATCAGTGGGGTTTTTCCTTAACATACTATATTCAGTATCTGGGCATGTATGGGTTAAGATCGGGCCATTTAAAGCAAATTATCAAGCCAATGCATTGTTGTGAGAGTTCACTGCGGAGAAAATTCCCAGCGCATAACCCTGCGGGTGGATGAACAAGTATATGTTATGAACAGGACTCAGTGCCAAACATGGTGTAGAATAGTAGCCGCCCTTGTCAGGTGCCTTCGGGTTGACCTTCCAGTATATTAAATGTGGAACAAGTTCCCCCTAGATACCCTCCAAATGGATTATGTGAAAAGTAGTGCCCTCTGAATGCCTATCCACAAAAAAAAAAAAAAAAAGAAAAAAAAAAATGGAAAAAGTGCCGCTTAGATGCCTTTAAGAGAAAAACATGAAAAACTGCCCTCAGGATGTCCTTCCACTAAAAGAGACATACAAAAAAATTCCCACTGGATGCCCTACAATGAAAAAAAATGGAAATGCACCATCTGGATCCTCTTCCACTGACAAAAAAAAAACATGACCAAAATGCTCTTTGGATGTCCCAACAGTGAAATATCATGTAAAAATACCATTGGGTTGCCCTTTCAGTGTAAAAGATAGGGTTTAAACCCTTTGGATGCCCTTTCAGTTAAATTAAAAATGTGAAAAAGAGCCTTCTGGATGCTACCAAAGTTAGAAAAAGCTAGAAAAAATACCCTAGATGTCCCTCCAGTGGAATAAAACAACTGAAATACTCTCAGGGAAAAGGACACATGGTCAGCAAGCTATTAAATAGTAGTTTTGGCACTGTGGGCAGGTACCAAGTCCTGCTGGAAAGGGATTCAGTATCCTGTCAGACACAGTGAGCCAACACCAAAAGATCACGGGTCACTTCAAACCATCACGAACTGCAGAGACTTCACAATGCGCTTACAGCATCTCAGATTATGTACCTTTCTACTTTCTACATCAAGACTCATAGACCTTCATTTCCAACTAAAGAGCAAAATTAAAGCTTAAAAAATGACTCAGAACCACTGTGCATGATTGAAGCCTCTTGAACATGAACAGCAGGTTTGTACTGCAAAAGAGAACTTAAAGTAGCTGCAGAAAAGAGGCTAATGGTACGAGGGGGGCTTTTTTACCTTACATCCTACTGCAGGAACCATAGAAATGCAGGAAATTATACTTTTATGCTATCGTACTTTTCTTTTAAAACACATGGGCGTTTCCTGGACTCTAAATGAGTTTTGGGAATAAAAAACATCCTGACATAGAACCAGAAAAAGTCTGTAGTGCTCTGTTTCTTTAATCAGGATAATGCCTTTAATTTCATAGCTTGGTCATGGTCAGGGTCAGACCTTGACGAATTTTCCTTGTTTGAGGGGGGAAAAAAATCTGCCTCAGGGTTTCTTTGTGATTCAATGGCTGCACATGTTTGTTAATTCGTGTCACTAGCCTTTTTTTATTTGTTTTTTATTACCAATCAAGACAGCGCGACTCATGTCAGGTCGTTCTATTGGCCGAACAACGCACGGCTGCTATTGACTCGTCATATTAAGCAAGCATGCTGTCTTTAAAATGCTGCAGTAATGGATCAGGCTGTGACCCCTCTCATGAGTATTCGCTGCTTTGCATTTCTACATGTTGCTGTTAAGCATAGCAAGCATGTGTAATAGGCTGTATGAAACATAATTAATTACCTCCCATATGAGTGCTACATATTAAACATGCACTATACGGCTGCAGCATATGCCTGTGTGTGTGTGACTGTTTTCTGATCACAGTTCGCTCTGCATAAGAATGCATTGCAAATAGTTGTCTGCATGTTACATGAGTAGTGTGCAGCCTTGGGGAAAATAACGGGAATTAGATGGTCTTTTGCTTTTCTACATATAGTAAAATGCTCCTGGCAAACGCGGTTATAGATGGAAATTGATTCAACATCAACACAAACGCTGAGATTCTTCGCGTCATTGCATAAACGTCTTTGTCGCATTCTTTTTTCGCTCCTGTAGGTGAAATTAATTATGTCTGACAAGCAGGAATGATGCTAAAGGAAATGTGTGAATGCGGTTTTCTTAATTCTACATGCAACAGTTACAGAGATGATTATTGTTGGTTTATTTTGAGGTTTATTATGAAAAGACAGGAGAGGTGGAGGAAGTGTTAATCACAAACAGCAGGAAGCAGCTCTGAGTGAAACACACATATAATATATATACTGTATATTTATAATCTTCCTCCACAGAGAGCACACACTGCACAGCACTATAGAGGCTTTATTAGCCCATGCTTTAAGCTCTCAGAGACATTACTGTACTATATATGCATGGATCAGATCTGAACATATGTGCTCTTGCATACTGAATAAGCTGGAAGAGATTCAACTTTTATTTTTACCGCTCTTACTCACACTTTTCATCTTCAGCTTATAATATATGACAGAGTCTTCTCATTCAGTCAAGCTATTTATTTTTTCACATCATCTAAATAATCCAAAATATCCAAACAGACCCACTCGGCTCTCTCACAGCGACTGGATCAAGGATTACTACACAATTTCATCCTCACTTTTGTGTCTTATAGTCTCTGTAAATTAAATCTTAACATTTACTTCTCTATTTTAAACAAATGGAGAGGATCCTTAGATCATTTAAGGGCTGCTTTTATAAAATATCTGACTGTAGATTCAATCAATCACATTTAATTTATAATGTTTCTGTCTGCGTTGCGAGCCCTAATTGCCTCAAACTGTCAGATTAGGCAAAACGAAAATTTAAATTGAAGAGTAAGTGATGTTGTTCAGATAAAATAGAGAATTTGTGGTTGAAAATGTAGCAGCAAGACGTTCATTTTGATAATAAGTAAAGTGATTGTTTTATATAAACAATGCTGTTGCTCAGAAAGTCAATCAAGTCAATAGACATTACAGTTTGTACACTATTCAATTAGAACACGCTATAGGAAACAGAAAGTTTAAATAGGATATAGTACCATATTGTACAGGATGTAATACAACGTCATATCATATTAGATATCAAACCAATGAAAAGGACAGAATGGGAGGGAAACAGTATATCAGGATAAAGAATAATGTGGGCGCCCCATGTATGGAGGATTTTGTCCTTGTTGCAGCAGAAACTGGTTTAAGCCTCCACCCCACATTTCCTGTCTCTCTTCACCTGCCGTATCCAATAAAGGCGAAAAAGCATCAAAAAATATTAAAATATAAGTATAGTATACTATATCTTTAAATATATAAATATAACCCTCCTACATTACCATCCCAGTCGGTTACCCTGCTCAATCTGGCAGAGTCAACATGCTAGCTACTCTGGCTCTCACAGGGGAGGGAGACAAGGGCAGACTTCCTATCAAATGAGTATTGTTAGTGATAAGCCTACAATCTTATGAAAAAAAATCCTGATTTGTAGCCTAGTCTTTTCAGCAGTTAACAAGTCACACAACAGTGAGGGCAAATCAGCAAACAGCTTTCAACCTCTGAATACAAAAGAAGTCATTAGACTTATGACTAAGCTTGAATCATCAGGTGTTTCTATCCAGCTCTCCCTTACCTGCACACACAGCTAGCAGCCTTACCAGGAATCAGACAAAGAGGGCATAATTGCCAACACCTGGCCTTATAAAGGTAGGAAGCATTACCTGGCCCTACCCACAGAGGGCAGTGTTTTTCACTTTTGTTTCAGCCCTCACAAAAGTATAATATATAATTCAAATATGATGCAGAATATTAGGGTTGGATATGATTTGATCCATACACTGTATATACTATGGAAAACTTGGTTTCGCCTTCTGCCAGTGATAGATTTGAAGCCAAAAACCTCTTGGTATTTCCAGGTTTTTTCTCCACTTCCCGAAACCAACATTGAGCAGTAGTGTTGTACACATTCGGCAGGAGAGTCGCTGTGATGACGCTCGGCTCAAACAGTGTACCCCCCGGGAGAGCTATGCAATCTTTGTACAACGATAGGCTGTATGAAGTGTCAATCATAGAAAACATGAACCCCCTAATAACTTTTAAAAATGGAGCTGCACAGAAAATAGAGGACTTGAGCACAAACCAGTCTTACAGTGACAACACGTCAACATCGCAACCAGGAGGGAGAAAAATATATATTATGTGTAATCAATTTCTCATTTCTAAACCCAGCCTTATAAAGATTGCTGAGGGAGGCGGGATTTATGACCTATACTGCAGCCCGTCACCACAGGGTGCTGTTTTCGCGGAGGCTTCATCCAGCAAGGAGACAGACAGCGTCCATTTTATATACAGTCTATAATTTGATCCTATAGGATGGACACTGTGTGATAAAATGATACAATCAGATGAAATACAGTATGTTACAGTATGTCTTCATATTATACAATAATTCAACATCATACATGAAACAGTAGTTGTGTTTACATGGGCACAAATTGGAATAGATGCCAGATCGGAATAAAAATGCGTCATGTAAACATGTTGATCGGAAGATTCTGATCCAATTTGGCTCAGCCAGAAAGAAACACTTATTCACTGATAGTAACTCTCTAACTTGACTCACTCTTGACTCTTTAGCCTTTAAGACCAGTACAGGAGGTTTCATTATGAACACTGCGGCATAAAACACAACCGCAGGTACCATGTCTGCTCCTCCGATAAATTTGGGGGACATAAAGTGTAATGATGTCACATCTCCACGCACAGTGCAACCTTTGACAGAACAGTAAAATAAGTACGAAAGGGCGCCATCTAGTGAAAACTATTGACAGGGGAAAACTCCTGAATTGGATGGAGAGAGCCATGACTGTGTTTGTTGGTTTGTTGACAGCACAGTCAGAAATACAACTCTTCTTCTGCGGTTGTTTTAGCGAAATTAGACAACTCTGCGCATGTCCAAATGCTTCTAGCTTGATGCATGTATACGCACATCATGATCAGATTATTTGATTTTGTGCCCGTAGAATGAGTGGATTCAGATTTTCCGATCCCTAAAATTTTTAATCAATCCAGAAATTTCGCACATGTAAACATGGATAGTGTTTTAGTCCCTGAGGAAATTTGTCTTAAACTGCTTCTCAGCCTGTGGTGAGCTATCTACACTGACAGAACAGCAAGTGCCCATGACATCCACAAATGCTGCATCCATGTTACCCATGATGCACTGCGCAACCCTAACAGCCTTGAGAAACTTCATCCAAACATCTGGTTGAAGTCCGCACCAATGAGTTATTTATAGAGGCTGTATTTGCGTCAGCATACTTCGTGCGGTTTGTCAGATGTTAAAACTGAGGGTGGTCAGGTGGCGCCTGGCTGTAAAATATAACTATTCAAAGAGTGGTACAACATTAGAGAAGTTTGACAACCCCCCGCTGGAGGAGAAACATAACCATTGTACTACTCACTAAAATAAGAGATAATGTGCTCTCTCATTATCGTACATTTCCTTCCCCAGCCTCTGCTCGTCTATAATTTACACCTATGGGCAGCGCAGTTACATTTTCACTTTTTTTAATCATATTCCACAGGAGTGTAACTGCAGCATATATAGACACGGCTGATTGGTGATATTACCAGATACCTGTATGTTTTAGATTCTGAGTGCCACACTAATATGACAGCAGGAATACTGATTAGCTAGATCCAGGGATGTAAGCTTGACATTGATGTTATGCTAATGCAGTGCCACTCTCCCCACTGTGTCCACACACACTGAGCACCTTCCAGTGTGAGCCGTGAATTTTCATACAATCCTCAGATAATAGAAGCTCATTTCATTCAGAGAAGGCGCTGAAGAACACCAGGCGTAATTACATCAATGTAAATAATAAGCTTACACCTATTCGTCTTTGTCTCTTACCTTTTGTCTCGCACGCCGCAGCCCCACACCGCCCCTAACCAGAAACCCCATTACACGTTGTTTTACACAGAACAATATATGACCTTTGATTTTGTACACAGAGCAAAGCATAATGTATTATGAAGCCAGCTCAGGAATATAAAATATGAATCATCTGCGTGTGTGTTTAATTTTTAAAGTGCAAAGAGGAGATTAAAGCTGCCCCGGCTGTTGTTGGTGTCTGCGGGTCAATATTGAAGACACAAACAACTGTAATCACTGTGACAGAAGCCTCAACGGGGGTAACCAGAGCGAGCATCACTGTGATTTTATTTTAGAAATCAATTTATTTTGCAAGCATGAGGCATCAGTGAAACAAACCAAGTGCTTTAGTGGAAGTGACAGCCTGCTGGTTTGGACTCGTGGTGTGTTATGTCCTGATGGAAAAAGGTGAGCAAGTGTGTGCAGACTTTTCTGGGTAAGCTAACGTGTCTTTAAAGGGATCTTTTTCTCTGGGTGAACACTTTGAATGCTATTTATCAAGGCACTCTTGGATTTTGAAATGTCAGCTTTTATAAATGATAAACTTGAACATACTTGGATTTTCTGAAGCAACTCGTTTTTTTAGAGTTGTTTAAACTGAAACTTCAAGTCCAACTGGTCTGAAACAGTCAGAACCGAGCTTCCTCTTCTTGGCCCTTTGGCCCCTTCTGTCAAATCACATGTTAAAAATCTTGGTGTCATCTTAGACTCAGGATTAAAGTTTGACAAACAAATAAATCAGGTCGTAAAATCAAGTTTCATCCAGCTCCGCATCGTCTCAAAAATCAGATAATATCTTACCACTTCTGACCTGGAGAAAGTCATTCATGCCTTCGTATCCTCCCGCCTCAACTATTGTAATGCATTATATTTTGGTATCACTCAGTCTCGTTTATCTCGTCTCCAACTAATTCAAAATGCAGCAGCCAGAGTTTTAACCAGAACTAAGAAGAGGGAACACATTACTCCCATTCTTGCCTCCCTTCACTGGCTGCCTGTTAGCTACAGGATTGAGTTTAAAACCCTGTTGTTTGTCTACAAAATGTTGAATGGTCTTGCCCCCTCTTACGTCACAGAACTCTTGTCCCCATATCACATAATGAGAGAACTACGATCATCTGACCAAAGACTACTGTCAGTCCCATGATCCAGGACTAAGTGTTACGGGGACAGGACTTTCTCTATCGCGGCCTCAAAACTGTGGAATTCTCTCCCACCCACCATCAGATTCTCCCCCAACACTGAGATTTTTAAGACTCAACTTACAACCCACTTACTCCCTAGCTTTTAACCGTCCCTAATTTTTATAGCTCAGCCATTTCCCATGTAGGCTCTGTGAGCTCTGGAGGTCGGTAGATCTGTGTTGTCTTTATCATTGTTATTATTATTACTGCTGCTATTGTTATTATTATTATTACTGTTATTTATTATAACTATTATGAATGATGATGATAGTGATGGAATTTAAAATATATTTTCATTGCTATCGTTATTATAAATGTCACTCAGTCTGCTCTTCTTCATCGTCTGTTTGTTCTCTTCCTTTGTTTTGTTTTTTTCCTCTGTGTTGTTGTAAAGCACTTTGGATCAACTCTGTTGTGTGTAAAGTGCTATATAAATAAAGTTGAGTTGAGTTCATTTATACACACGGCTCAACACAGGATCAAAAAGTTTTACTCTGACTTACTCTTGCAGAGCTAGCTCCACCAGCCTAAGGTTCTCCTTTAAGAAGGGTGACCATATTCTGAATCCCCCAAAAGAGGACACTACTACGCGGGGCAGAGTTGCACGCAACATTTAAGTTTTTGGGGGTCTGGTCAAGTATTTTTTACGTGCATTTTACGACATGTCTGGGTTAAAGAAGACGTATGGTCACCCTACCTTTAAGGCTAACAATACTTACCACACTACGAGAAACTTCCTGTTACCTGTGCTAGTTTCAGCAGCAGCTATAGCTACAGCTAGTGGCAGGAGGCTACACTTGATGATTGGCATTATGGGCCCACAATAATCAATAACAAAAATAGTTAATAGGTTAATTAGGCTATTTAATATCGTGCCAACTTCTGAGAGTGACAGCTCTGGTTATTTATTTCTCTATATATTCACATTTATGACACATTGGTACCATTAAAAAGTTCACTTAAAGCTCCTGTGAGGAACTTTCTGTTTGTGTGAATTTTGGCGCCCCCTGTGGACAAAGCATCACATGCTAATTTTCACAGCTTCAAGTTTGAATCGAACATCATCCTGCTGACTTTTAAAACACAAAAACACATCCTGGAGCAGCACCGGGAGTTAATTTTCATCAGACCTCTTCACAGAAGAAGTTAAAACTATTTTTATGAAATAATCTTTTGGGTAATTTCAAAAACTTTACTCTGGTTCTGTTAAGGACAATCCCTTCTTCAGTTCATTTTAACACAAGGCTGAGCTCTGACAAGAAGCAACCAAAAGTTTTTCAGGGGGGTCATGTTCCTGACAAGTATCACATGTTACAAAAACATAAAACTTACACTAAATACAAGTATTTTTGAAAAGTAAAAAGTAAACTGAACTAAAAATCCAGCATCAAAAATTAATCTAATGTAAATCAAAACAAAAAAAACCCCAAAAGAAATACATATAACTTTCATTAAAAATTTAAAAACTTTATTAGAGAGGGCTTAAAACCTAAAAAGTGTAGTAAGTTAGAGAGAAAGTCAGCTTAGAAATTTAAAATTTTGAGAAGAATTCAAAAGTCCGCTTTCCCCCGAGAAAAAGTCGGAAATCTAAAAATAAAGAACCTGATTTAAAGCTCCTGTCATGAATTTTTAGATGGTTTTGCAACTAATTTAACAACAATTCACGCCCCTTTCTGGACTGGCTCTGAAAATAGACTTTAAAAGGACGTGATCAGCGAAGGTTAAGGGAAGTGTCACTTTAACAAAAAATTGAAAGTTCCCCACTGGAGCTTTAAATCAGCCTTGAACACATTTTCCACATTTCCTGCATATTTTCTAAAAAATAGAAGAAAGAACAAACATGACCTTCTCTTTGTCATCAAGACGAGCCTGCAATTCAAAATACACAAAATCAAAAACAAAAATAGACACTCTACGAGGGCACATTTTGCAGGAATTGTAGGTATTATCTGGGAAACGCAATGGATCTGCAAACAATCAGAGGATGAATATGTTAATTTCGGGGGTTATCTCTGGGTGCACTTCTTCGTTCTTCTGAAACAGCAAGTCAGTGTGATTTTAACTGACCTCAAAGATAAACCATCAAAGTCTCCTCCGGCCAAAGCTATCGCACTAATATGCTGAGCAAAGCAGGAGAAAATGTGAGCGTCTTAATTACGCTGCAATCTGAGATGATGATAAGACTCGCATTAGCCCGCTTGAATAGGAATACACACAGACTCAGACGCACACACCGATACCCTGGTGAATGGTTGAATGTTACAGCAAGGTGAAAACATCTCAGAGTAAACACCTCTTAGTGCTTTATTTGTGCTTCATTCACACATTAACACTGACAAGGCACTTTGACAACTCAAGGTTCAACACTTTAATTGTGGGTAATAAAACGTAACAAAGTAGAACCAAGGTCAACGTTAACTTTAATTACCACAGGGCGTGCTTCTCTGCACAAATATCCGCCATGTGCAAAGTGTGTTGTATGCAGAAGAATGTGGCGCCTGGTCGTGTGCTGGTTAGCCGTGTTAGTCAGGGTTTGTGATCATCCAAACATAGCTTTATTTATCAGAGGAGATCATTCTCATCTCTTAAATCCCTTCTACAGTGGCGTCAGTACAATCTGTCTGCATGAACACTGTTTGTGTAATTTATACAGTTAAATATTTGCACTCGACAAACACCTTGCACATCCCTGCACAACTGCACAGCTATTATACAACAACTTTGTACATATTTGGTCTGTATTATATTTATATCTTATCAGGGACAAGTACACATCACAGTGCGAACAACCCAAGGCATTTATCTTTCTTTCCTTCCTCACTTTCTTTCTTTCTTTCTTCTTTGGCAGCCTTAACATGCACGAAAAGCGCATACATCAGGCCTGGTGAAAATAGTTGGTATTTTATGGGTTGCACACGCAACTTTGCAGAAATGGTGCCATCGTGACTTCAGAAATGCAAAATTTCAGGCCCCAGTTTTGGTTTTTGGATGTTTAAGGGCGTGGCCACAGTTTTACAGTAAAAATCAGACACTTCTTGCCAATTTGGAAAACATAAATCCTGTAAGTCTCATACTGAATAACCGATCTTGTCCAAAATTGTCACATATGAAATGCATCACGGGCTTCATATTTAAAATCATGCCACAAGACAGAAGGTCATTGAAAATCCTTCATACAGCCTTGGATTTCTTGGTTTTCTTCTGAACAAGTCTGTGTGCTTATATTTAACGCAGCCACAGTACCACCAAGTGGAGATACATGGTACTAACTTTTACCGACTATCTCTGATCTGCTCCAAAATTCACAGGTTTGGTGACAGTCCCAGTCTGATTTCATCTTTTATACAATTCTGTTACAGTTATAGTGCCACCTATAGGAAACAAGTGGTACTACCTACCAAACACAGATGTAAATGTGCCTTTAATCTTTACTGTTTAATAATCAACTGTTATTGATAACATGGTTATAATCATAGCCCCACTTACAGGTAAATGCAAGTGCTGCATTATTTTTTTGAAACTGACAGTATCAGTCTAAAGTCATTTATGTAACAGTTGAACTCATGTTATTATTCTAGTTACTTGTGCACAGTTGTGGGTGCAGCACAGGCTCATTCTGCAACACACCCTAAACCTGCAAGACCCCAATGTGCATAAAAGTGCAATGGCCCATACTTCACATTTTGTGGTTTTAATAGCGCATTGTTATTTTAATGTTCTTTTTTTTAAAATAGGATTTCCATGATCATTGTATTTAAAAACAATGACTCCTGTTTTGCTCTTTAACTGCTTTATATCTCTTACATTTACTTTTACCTTTTCATATAGTTAAAATTTTGTATTTTCATTTTTTATTTTTTTGCCTTATCTCTGACCATCCTTTTTTCTGTTATCATCCTATCTTCTATTTTCTTTTTTCGCCACATTTATCCACTGGCACTTTGAGTAATAAAGGACCAGAAAAGGACAGCAAAGATTTCTTAAGTACGTTTTCTTGAACACAATAAATACAAACCCAGTTAAGGCATTAATCATACATGGGAGTGATTGACATTGTTCAGAAATATATTCAAAGAAAGTGTTACATGCTATTGAGTGATCCTGTTCGGTGCAGTACCCACGCCTGGACTCTGCAGGTGTCCAGCTGCCGTGTACTGAACCAGACTGTCATTTCTTGCACTCCCACATGAATACTTGTATTTATTATTTCATGAATTATGAATGTGACTGACATCTTTTACTTGAATCCGACTGTATTTGCCATGTTAGGGTATTCATTTGTCTCACAGCACATAAACGTTTGAACTTTTTCTACAAAGCTTCACTTACCCGAAATGATTTCTTTGCTAGATTTTCTTTAGTTCAACTTCTTTGAGGGTGAAATTAATCATGACAGGACATACTGTTTTCAAAATGGCTCCCCGACCACTAGAAGTAATTTTCCGTACATTTTTCTCTCGCTTGAAAACCTAATGACTGTGCCACTTAACAACACACATTTTTGTTAAAATCCCCTGATATTTAGGGCTTGCAATGAGCCTTAAGGATTTTTTCTGCCTTTTTCTGTTTTTCTTGTCAAAGTCAGAGGTTTTGACGTGTCCCAAACTTGCCTTTGGAACCAGGCTTGCAGAAAAGATTTTAATGGTTTTAATGGTTTGGTGAACTGGCTAGCATTTCGGAATTTCAAAAGTTTAGTTCTGCCCCACAGTTCAACTCACTAGTGTTGAAATTTGAATCAGCCAAATTGCAGGATGCATTTTCGAACAAACTTGCGCTGGGTTTTGATCCTGTTCACTCTTACATTGGTCAGTGTTTTGTTGACAAATTAAAGATCAAAAATTATTTAAGGATCTTCTTGACGCGAAAGGATTTGGTCATGCCATCTTCTCAAACTTAAACATGTCACAGTGAAACAGGAAGTTAGTGTAATTCCCTCAAACATTGTCTTAATTAGTTAAATTTTCATGGACATCATCAAAGTCCTCCTCTAAAAACACTTATGTTTATTTCTTGGTTACTATCATAGCACTGCCAAGAGAAAGAAATGCCTCCCTTTCTGCCCCCTGGCTGTGCATGCAAACCTGCGATGACGTTGCACAGAACCCGTCTATTGCATATAAGTGGGAATAATACGTTTGTTAAACAAGTTTGCAATCATCATGATTTCTGAAATTGTCAGAAATATTCCTGCAGATGATGATTTTACAATATCCACCCTGTGCTCAAAAATTACACCACAATGCTCACAGTGTTTAGTTCAAGGGAATAGCACCACTTATGGTAATAGCTGCATCACAGCGACAGCCTGCTGCACATCCTGCAACATTATGGTTAAAAAGTTGTTCATCACCACTTGCGGCTTTAATTTCAGTGCTCAGCGGAGTCAGGAAGCACGCCACAGATGTCTGTTCAATCTTTCTCTAAACTTGTGCTGAAAATAGTCTCAAGTGATATCACTCAAAAGTTGTAAATATGCCAAAAATACTTTTTACTGAGTTGTGTCACCACTGGCTGTTTCCTCAAAAAGGCAGAGAAAATAATAAATATATGTATATAAGACAGATTACTCTTGACTGTAAAGCTAAGCCAAATAATTTACTCAAAGGTTTTTGCATTTTATTTTTAAAAATCCTGTTGTGTTTTTTTTTTCTTTACTGTCAAGAAAAGAGTTTGAGAAGATGTATTAGCGATGGTGCCACATCATAAACAATCAGCGGCTGTGAATCAGCTCAGTTGGGAACATTTACAGCTCTAATTTGGCTTCTTGCCTCTGTGAGCGGGGTTAATATCAGTAACCATGGATATAAATGTTTTCTACTTATGGTTGAGGGTGTTGTGTGCAGCCCACAGTTTAGCTGTTTATTTATACATTCCTCGTTAACGTGAAGAGCCCTCCACAGCTGAGAGTGTTTATTGTGAAGGGCTTGTCAAGAGGGTTCGGTTTAGAAAAGGACCTTTGTGATTTTGTTTTGCTCTGTGTGAGTTTCCCCGCCTGATAGATTTACACTATAATGTGCTGAAAGGTTCTTATTTGGAGTGGATTTGGGTCAAAATTTTAAGTAGGGCAAAAATCCCTCGAAAAAAAAAAAAAAAACAGTGAAGAAGAGATGGGTGTGAATTTGTTATTGCTGAGTAGCAGCCCCCCCCTTTATTTAGGTAAGGGTGGGAGTGCTCAGAGACCCTAAAAGATGATTCACGTTGGCCAAAGACTCATTCATTTTCACCAGCAGAGTCCACTTTAAGATAAGCTTCATAACTACATGATGGGGAGACAAAAGGAAATCTTGCAAAAACTGGCTGGTACCTTTCAGATCCGACACGTGCTCCTCCGACAGGCTCTCGCAGAGTGTCTGGGAACTCTCATCCTGGTGGTGAGTAAAGATTTGCAAAATTTTAAAACTTTTGTTTTAACAAATGGCTTCACGAAGACGCATTTTTCATATCAGGCAGGTATGATTAAGGGTTGTAAATTTAACAAAGTCACCATGCTTCATATTTTACTTCTGTTGCACCCTGATCCAGCCATTTCCCCTTTAACCAGCCCTTGAATATAACTCTTTCCTCACACTTAGTGCAATATTTGGGGGGTACATTGGCTGGGCTTTTCATCTATTTTAAATTTCCAGTGTCACAGGATGAAGAAAATCTTTAATGAGTTCTCAAAAGTGCAGATTACACCGCAAAGACTCCGATCTTACTGAGTGTATTTGTCTCATTAGAAGTCAAAATATCTCATTACACTTAACATAAGCTGCATTGACCTGACAAGTCCAGACATAAATCTTACTTCAAGATATTACAAGCCAAAATTAAGGACTTTAGGAAAGAAGTAGAGAGAGAAAGTGAAAGAGAGCGAGAGAGAGACATACTTTATTAATCCCCAAGGGGAAATTCAATTTTTACACTCTGTTATCGAACTTGCAACACACACACACATTGGCTGGAAGTACACACACGTGCACAGACAGGATCCTATGGACATGCACTGATGGAGAGATGTCACAGTTAGGGGGGCTGCACATGAAAGGGCACCCCAGAAAGTTGGAGCTTGGTGTCTTAATCCAAGACACCAGTTTCTGTGCTTCAGATACCACTGTGTCCCTACTGGGTCAGACAAAACCACAAAGATGAGACACGACAGCTTCAAGTTGACTGATTGGTTGATTGTTATGAGAATAAATTGAATACGAGTGCAAGAAATCCTTGTAAAGTCTGTTGAAACATGATGTTATCCTTTTTTTTCATAATGTCTTGAAAAAAGATAAATTTCTGGACTTATCAGGTAAGTGTGGCTTCATTTGAGTGCACTAGGATATATTGACTGAAGAGTAAAATCTAATAAATGCTTGTGGAAACGTCTGAAAAAATAAGTAAAAGAAACTTGATATTTTAATTTGAAACACTTTATAAGCAAAAAATGCTTGTTTTAGGAGTGTTTGATAGTTATAGAGTAGAGTAGTAAAAAGACTTGTTAAGGGATGTGACATCTATGGTTTCCAAAAATAATGTCAAATTTAGATTCAGCACACCACAGGAAGGGAGGAACTGTTCTTTCTGGAGCACTTTTTAATCTGCATTTGTGGATGAAGTGACAACAGGTGTTACGACCCAGCCTAGGGCTACGCTGGATGTAACATAAAGTGCTCTTTCCCTTGTCCCAACTCCCCAAGAAAACCAACAGCCACCAGAAAATGCAGTCTTACATGGGTTTATTTTTCAATATAAATGGTATTTGGCTTTAAGGTGGACACAGGCCAAACTAACGAACAAAACCTCTTTTTATTAAAGCTAACTTTCCTAACCAACAAAATAGTATGAAATAAAATACAGGGGGTCTTACCTGCCTCCCTAACCCAAAACAAGAGAAAAGTTTTGAAAAAATAAAATAGCTGCCCACCCCTACCTACCAGACTGCTCTTAATGAAACTAAAGGTATTCGTCTTAAAAGACAAATCAAAATTCACAAAGTTTTCAATCTGTAACAATATTTAGACCTGGTTGACAACAATCTCACTAACTATTTCCTAATCAAGGAGGCATACACAAAAACACAGGTCTGGCTGGGAGTCAAGACAAAGGAATAAGATAGAGAGCTCCTCCAGCAGCCACCCTTTTCAAAGCTCCCCTCTTCAGCTGCTGTCCAATCAGGTCACAGTCCTCTTCTGGAAAACAAAAGAGACACAAAGGAACAGCACCTACCAGAGGTAGGGAGGGTTAACCAAAAAAAAAAAGTGCAGATGAAAAAACAACAGAATGTGTGGTGCAATGGGACTGTCTCAGTTTTTTTGTGAACCCTAAAGGCGTCTTCTACCACGTGTTGTTTCCATTCAATCGTAGTTTGAGTGACGTTTGTCTCTGAAAAAACTTGCATGATTGGCTGTCAATCATGCTCAGGCAGGAAGTCTGATCATACACTGCTGATGTGGGGCGGGGCTGTGAATGACCACAAAACTGTAGCCACAAAATCGTGAGTGCTTGTAGGATGCTAAACAGAGTGACTATATGTGACTATCATGCAACAGTAAGATTGTTATATTGATTATTACGGTTGTACAATAATTTTCCAAAAATACGATAATTCTATATTTCCCGTCTGGTAACATTGAGTGACAAACAGTCACTTTTCAAGGAGATTTTGAGCCCATGCAGTGGTTTCCACTACAGAGTCACATCTGTTTTTATTGCTGTGCTGCCTGGATGCTCAGAGATCTTGTCCACTAAGAGTTAGAATTCTGTTTTTTTGTTGAGATTTCTACAAATTCTAAATATTTTACCCTCAAATTCTTCATATTATCAAGTCGGGGGAAATTATTCAGCATCCAGGCATGCATTTTTCGTGTGTTAAACAACTTTTCCTGTGATTTGTTGTCTGTGTTGCTGAAATAAAATTTTAAACAGGCATATACTGTATATATTTTATAAAACAGTATATATATTTTTTCAAATATAGCATTTAAATGACTTGTGAACCATCAAAATCTGTTTTTATTTGACATTTGGCTCCTTTTAGTATGAAATGATCATAACTTTTTATTAACAATACTACAAGCGAGTGCATTATGTGTTTCATAAGTTGTGAGATGTTCATATTAACAGCCTCACACCCACTACTTAATCTGACACATGGAGGAATCACCTTTTATCCTGCCTCTCCTACATGTTTGTGTAGTGAAAAAAGGTGACGATACCATCATATCTGGTGTGGGAGCAAAATAATTGAATTACACAATAGTTAAAGGTTGTTTGGTCTGGAGGTGTTGATGAAATATTGCTATAGAGCGCTTTTTATTTGCAGAATTAAATGCCATTGATGTAAAAAGGGGGAAAAAAGCAAAGAAAATCTTGAGAGTTCAAGCATCTTAAACACTTACATCAATTATCTCCTGTAATATCTATTTCAGTCTGTTTAATTTACACTTACAGGGCCTTGTTATTCTTTACACTGCACTTGAAGTCACTGTTGACACCGGGTTCAACACACATGAGGCCATGAGGTCCTTTTAAATCCAAGCAGAATGTTTTCCAGGCTGTGCAAAACAACCTGGAGTGGCTCTGTTTCTCATGATAACCCACAGACAACAAAAATATTAGGAGAGGGCGCCGACAGAGAAACGCCGGGCCATTTGTTATTCCGCTCTCAGGCTGCAACTGATCCGTTAACTCCAGGAGACCTTTCACTCCACCGACAATCTGTCCCCTCGATGGTCAGAGCCGGACCTCCACGGAGGAGGACTCTACAGGGGAGTCAGACTGTTGTCAGCATCAATAGTCCCACACAAAGGCCAAACATAGCAGGCTGATGACCTCTGAGGTCAGAGAGACACACCCTGGATACAAGCAAAAGCAAGACTCAGTGAGACACCTGACTTCAGGTCAAGCCAACGTGGGGCTCTGTTATTCTCTTTCAACTTTTTCTACTACTGTCCGTCTACAACAATAACCCCGGCTCCGGGTTCTGCTGGTTCGTGGTTGGTTTCTAAATTTCTATGTGTGTTTCCCTCTCCTCTGTCCAGATGTTTGGTTGTGGTTCAGTAGCACAGCTGGTGTTAAGCCGAGGCTCCCATGGCACGTTCCTCAGCGTCAACTTGGCTTTTGGATTTGCTGTAACTTTGGGGATCCTCGTGAGTGGACAGATCTCAGGTGAGGGTTTTCAGTTTCACCAACACCTGTTCTGTTTGGGGTCAGAGTGTCCCGGAGCTCCCTGTTAGGAAAAAAACTGCAACATTATCAACAATAGCTGGTCACACTGATGCATGATACTTAAACATGATGATGGTGCTTTTCTTCTCTTAGGACTATCTATCTATCTATGTATGTATGTATGTATGTATGTATGTATCTATCTATCTATCTATCTATCTATCTATCTATCTATCTATCTATCTATCTATCTATCTATCTATCTATCTATCTATCATACTTTTATTGTCTGTTTCAAGGTACCTTAATAAGCTTCTGTCCCCCGTTTAGCTTTTTCTTTGAGGTACTTTATTTCAAGTGTCTGATTTTGGTTACCTACGGCGTTGTATCTAAAGTCCTGTTGAGCCTAAGTTTCAAACAACCTTTCAAAGTTGATTTTGAGTTACTCACAAGGTCTGTTTCAAGGTTCCCCTTAAGCATCTTTACCTTTTATAGTCTGTTTCCAGGTACACTAGATGGTACATTATGGGATGACAGTTCCCTTTAGTTTTTGGATCAGTATCATTAATGTTTTAAGAACTACAGGAGTCTGTTTCAAGGGCCCCCTTTTTCTGTCATGTTAGGGTGTCCTTTGGTAGCTGTTTCAAGAAACCCATAAGCATCTTTTCTACGATCTCTTTTTCTATTTGTGCACATGTAAACGTTTGTTGTATTTCACTTCAGTTACTTTTGCGTCCAAGTAGTTGTCGTGTCTGTCTTTGGGTATCCTTCGTATTGTACCTATTAGTGACTGTTTTAAGGTATTCCTCTGAATTTTTATGGTAACGCCCGTTTCCTGTTTGTTTAGAGGTAATCATTCAACCTATCAACATGATTCCAAGTTGCTTACTCAATCTGCTTCAAGGTATCCTTAAAGGGACATTCTGGCATAAAATAAAGTTAGGGTCAAACACAATGTAACACAGAGTTAGACGAGAGGGGTGTCTAACTCAGTGTTACGGTGTGTTTGACCCTAACTTAATTTTATGCTGGAATATCCCTTTAAACAACTTAAAACAGGATAACCATCATTTTTTTAGATAAGTTTGTCACCTTATGATAACATGACACTACTTGATGAAGTAAAAGTAGCCCCGAGACTGCAAAAACTTCCCAGTCCAAATAAAAGTTAAAAGTTCACTTTTTATTGTTGTCTCTCAGAGAAAGTAAAAGTAAAAAGGTGAAAGTTTTGTGTTGTCTGACCCATCCACCACCTCAGCAGCCACCCCAGGCCAACCATCTCTGTCTTTCTGATATGTAACCAGGCTTCTCACATGCTGGATGACTGGAACAGAGTTGCTAAGAGCAACCCAGATGGGTCAAAATTGGCTCAGGATGGCGTGTGTTATATATACAAATTGTTGAGCATTACTTTCTGTGGTGGAGGGAAAAATTCCAGCATGCAAAAGCACACACCCATCGGCATGGTTCCTGCATCTGTTACCAGCTAGCTCACAGCTAACATCTGTGAATAAGGTGCCCGGGGTTTATAAAAACAAACAGAGTGGTGGTCAAAGTTGCCAGAATAACAGGAGGTAAGGGCTCACTTTCTCTCTGCCTTGGCAAATACTTAAAAGGGAGGCACAACTCAGCAATATATATGTGCATTACCTGCCAACTCTTGTATTTTATATAATATCTGCAGCAATTTCTCCTGTCTTGTAATAATAACAATGTTTTACACTCAGTTAGGGTGTTAATAAAGAAGAGAAAATGATGTTAAGTTTTCAATTATCATTATTATAATTACATATTTGCACATTCATCAGCAGCATCAATGAGGGTGTAAAGCAGCTGTCAGCCATGTCATCAAAACAGGGGCTTTAGTGAAAGGAGGAAAAACTTTATCATCAAGAAAAATCACACTTGGTTGAGCTGCAGTCATTTGCATCAGCGCTGTGAAGTAGCTGTCACTCAAACAGTTCTTCTGGAGACTTTCTTTTTTATTTTTTACTCCAGCATCCATCAGCATAACAGGGAGTCATTATTATTGATGGCTTGACAGACACTAAATATCAGCAAAAGGTAAACTGGCAGTTATCTGAAGAGCAGTATTTACCACACAAATGACAGCTGGAGGGAGACGAGGAGGAGGAGGAGGATGAGGAGGAGGAGGAGGCCATGGACAGAGGAATGCAAAGTTGAAAGGAGACACACACAGAGGAGGAAGGAGATGAAGAAGAAGAAAAGGAAGGGGGCATTTACCTCTTAACTCGAAAACTATGTGGTCTGTAATTGAAACGGCAGTGAGCGAGTCAATCCTGAAACCCACTATCTTCTGTCGGAAACACAACAAAGCTTCTGCGGTTCACTCATGCCGCTTCTTCAATGCCTTTATAATGAGGCTGTCCCCCTCTAATACACACTGCAGCTGAGAAAATAAGCTGTTATAATTAGATAGCGCCAACACTGGCACAATTAAGGTGTGAATAAGAGGCAGGCGCTCATATGAGTGCGCCATCAGAGCAGAGATTTCCCCCCTTCAAGGTTAGAAAAAAAAGGAGACTTTTCTGAATCTTTTCATCCTGCCAATTTAATTAGTGTCACAGAGACCTTCAGTCCGAACAGGACTTTACCCAGACCGCAATTACTGAATCTACAGCAGGGGTAGAACTGTCTTTTCAGTCTCAGGAAAGAAAGGAGGGGCTGTAATGTAGAGATGAATCATGAGTTTTTTTCCTGTATGTGTAAAAATACACCAAGGTGACTGTGTTTTTCTCCTCTCCAGGCGGTCATCTGAACCCAGCCGTGACCTTCGCACTCTGTTTACTTGGTAGAGAGCCCTGGAGGAAGTTTGCATTGTTCTTTTTCTTCCAGACTCTCGGAGCGTTTCTGGGCGCTGCAGTCGTATTCGGCGTCTATGTAGGTGAGTGAGGCTGAGACAGGGGCGAAGAAATCGATGAAGACGTTATTGTTTCAAAAGGCGTATATGTCTAAATCTGATGTCAAACTCAGACTCTTGAGAAACTTTGTGCTGCACTGGTAAAAGTCTGCAGAAAATCAAACCTTTGACAGAGTTTTAGTGGGAAAAAAAGTCTTTTAAGTCTTAATCAAAGCCATATTCTCCCAATAAATCAAGGAAACGTTTTATTTCAAGATCTGACCGACCAATAATAAGACATGGATAAGCACAAACTGACAGATCAAGGTCTCAAAATTAGGTATTTATTAATTCAAGGAACTTAAAGCTCCTGTGAAAAGATTTTTAACATTTATTTATGAAGTAGGCTGAAATTTATTTTGATGCTTTTTATGATAAACAAAAGCAATCAAGGAAACAATATCTTTAATTTTTCCTTTTATGTTTGTCATTAAATTATCTACTTCATCTGGTTTAGATTCAGCTCATTAAGACCACTTCTGACAAGAAATTTGACAAAAACTCTGAAATATTTGAGTTTTTTTACGGAGCTACATTTCTGGGGAAAATAAATCCATTGACAAATTTATCTAACAAAAACTTCTTTCTGTTGCGAAAAACATTCCAACATTTTCACACTTTTATCAAGTTGTAACTCTTACAGAATGAACTTTGACACTGCAGTCTTTGAATCTGTTTTTAAGTTGATTTTGTTTATTATTTCAATATTTTATTATTTCTGCTGCAAAAATAAATTATTTCTTATAATAGTCTCATAATAATCCAATCCACTATTTAAAGGAAACGTGGATTTACAAGGCCAAAAATAAAACAACCTGAACACAAGACAGGAAAAAAATATTAACCCTTGAATGCCTGTTGTATCTTATTTGATACATACTTTTATGATACTTTATCTAATCAATATGATCAAACCTGAATACAGTCCGATAAATGATAAAAATGTCTTCTTGTAGTTTATCAGTTTCCAAAAACATCTAATGTATCAAATGAAAAAAAAAAAAAAAAATTATATATTTGTAAAAATTTAAGGACATTTGGATTTTTTGGGATTTCAATAGTAAGTGAAATAACCATTTCAGCTTCAAAAACTTTGAATTTTCTGGCCATAATTTGTGGTTTCAGGCATTAAAGGGTTAAAATAAAAGCATAACAAAAATGCAGGTTAAACATAAATTAAAATATTTTAAGAAAAGGATGATGAACCTACTCCCTTATTGATAAGAGTACTTAAAACTCAACAAATACCCTATTTTTGATAGTTAAAATTATCGTAAAACTGTTTGATCATAAGGCTGGTGATGTGGATTACTCATAAATCGGAATATGATTATTATGATTATGATTATTATGATTATGATCAAAACTATTCCAAAATCTATCTGATACTTTGATCAAATCTAGACTAAAAATGTAGATACTGATGATGACTCACCTGCATCCTTACAGCCAAGTGTTCACCTGATTAAAAAAACTAAAACATCTATTTCATAATGCACAGATAATCAGACTGTAAGACTCACTGGGGGACCCTGAGCCGAGTGGTCTGAGGTTGTGAGGTTGTCTGGAGGGTATTTGCACTTCGATCGTTTCATGTGTCTGTTACGTCACGCTCTGCACAGCTATATGTTCATGTGAAAGCCCCATGTGCCACAGCTTGTCCATGTTATTGTACCCTCTCAGTATGCTTGTGTCACCGCCGTTCATGCGTGTCCCCACGGCCTCTCGCTTACACGTTTGTGCATCTCCGGCTCCTGTTCTCTGCAGCCTGCAGCTATGTAATCAAGCAGAAAGTAAACAAGAGATCCAAATGTCAAGTGTATTACTGTTTGCAGTAGCTGTCTGCGTTATCTCTGGGACATAAATCATCCCACCAATTTAACCTTAAGTTTTCAGGTACCTTAAGTATTATTATCTGATTTGAATGTTAGCTGTGATTCAATGCGACATCGGTGTTTTACCTGCAAGTGATTGATGTGAGTATCTGTTTTCCAGAAAGAACTGCTGGATTATGAAGACTCTGCAGTATATTTGGTTGTTTCTGCATGGTCTCATGATTTTTAAGATGCATAAACACTCAGGGGATGTAAAGAGATTTTTTTTTTGTGTCGTCTCCCCAGATGCATTGTGGGACTTCAACCAGGGAGGTCTGATTGTGATGGGGGAGAATTCCACCGCTGGGATTTTTGCGACATATCCAGCGAAACATCTCGGTCTGATGAACGGATTCTTTGATCAGGTAACAGTAACTGTCAGTTTACACATTATTCATCTCAAAACGACCTTATTCTCCATCCTTTTCGCAGCTTATTGAGTTCATACTAGTAGGAATATGGAGCAGACGGCAGGAGTTGTATTGAAGATGGGCCAAAGCAAAAGCAAAAATGTATCGGCCATTATTTATATGAAGAAATGATGTGTAGGCCTATAAAAACAACAGAGTTTGGCGTTAAACACCCTCACAAATGAATTCCTCCAAATAAATAAATAATCCATGGCATTACGACTCAGTTGGTTCAACACATTTCCCCAGCCTGCAGTTTGGTCTGGCTTGCATACATTAAACCTGTCCAAGAAACTTCGATCCTCAAATGCATGGAAGGAAAACTACCCCAGGTCTAAACCATCCTAAACCTGCGTTCTTTAAAATGACCTGCAGGAGGCGACTATGTATGTCGTAAATCTGTCTACGTCAGTTTCAACATTATTTTTTTAATTGGAAATTGAATATTTTTCTTAAAAGAGTTTTGGTGCCTCCCATGGACAAAGCAGGACCGCTTTACCATCTAACATAGCGATGTTACCCTGCTTTCGTTTTACTGTGAAATAAATACGTAAGTGGCGCAATTGGAAATGAAAACAATAGGGTGACCATATTCTGAATCCCCAAAAAGAGGACATGACTACACGGGGTCGGAGTCACGGAGTTGCGCGTCATAAATTTTGAGAGGTTTTCAGGTCGGGTCAAGTGTTTTTATACGTGCTGCAAACTCAGTAAGTCCACGCGACAAACTTAAAACTTCCATACAAAATCCTGGACATTTGAAGGATTTTATAAACTCCCCCAGACAGGCTGGACAACCCCCCAAAAAAGAGGACGTATGGTCACCTTAAAAAACAAGGGTGTGTCAGCAGTTTGCGTCAGGCCTGAAAATCAGGGGATCTGTGGAAAGATCAAAACTTTCGAGCCAAGATACAACAAACCAGGCTGCCCATTATATTACTCAAAATAGTACATACCAGCTCTTTATGAAGAGGTATCAGCTGGTATCAGCTGTCACCAGGCCTGTTGTGGTAGCTAAATATGAATTACAATGGAATAAACTAGCAAACAGCAACCACACAACTGAATGTAACTTTGGGAAAAAGAAGACCCAACTTTCACCTGGAGTATCATAAATGAAAACAGAGAAACAGCTAATTTATATGAGACAGTATGTAAAATCTGCAACATTCAGCCATCGAGGCAGAGCTGCCAAACACAGCACTGACAGTGACAGGCATAAATATTTTCATCTGCAGTAACACTGGTTAAGGAGATGGGGCCAAGATAGAAGTAACATCCCGCCGTGACTTTAAAGTCCATTACCTCCTACTTCAGTGGAAAGGTTCCTACATTCTGAGTCCAGTTAAAGATTTAATCCAAACAATTACACTCATTAAAATCTACAGAGGTCTTGTGATCGTGCTCAAGTTGTCTTTAATCCATCTTATTGTGTAAGAGCAGAGTTGTATTCTCAGGGGAGCAACCTTAGCCTTAATGCTACTCATGATAGGAGTTCAGGCTCCTTCTGATGATCCAGATCAAGAACTGGCTCTTTCAGCTCCAAAAGAAAGTCTTTTACATTCGATGCATGCTCACCACCCCAGGCTAGAAACGGCAGTGTAGTCAAGAAACACAAAAACAAGGTTTTGGTAACCATTTCTCAAACTAATCTTCGTGTAAATAGTTGATAAGAAACTAGACGAATAGTAAACTATTGGAGCTGCAGAATAATACTGTATGCAATAGTGTTGAGCCACACCACAGTCTTACTGTCACTCACCCAATCTGAATAAGTGGCAATCATGACAGATGGGTATCAAGTTCATCACAAGGAGTATGTGCCTTTAAACTCTCATCATATTGATCCTGAATGGAATATAAAAGTCTCAACGGGACCAAAAGACTCAGAGTAGCTATTCTTTCTTCAAGGGGGTGCATTTTAAAACTAGCCTGAAAATAATAATAAAGAGCATGGTCCAAAAAGGCTGAGGGTTCATTCTGCTATATCTGGGCCTTCTGTTTCCCACAAATGGAGCACGAGTCTTTTTACAGAGCTTCAATTATCTTGAAGCAAACTCTCACAATACCGTTTGATTTTTCAAGTATTTCAACTCCAGTGAGTGAAATTGGTGGTTCCATCAAAGCAGCACATTCCCTCTCACAGACCACACTCTGCAAGCTTAAGTACAGAACAAGTGGTGTAGCATACAAGTGACGGTCATTTTCCATCAGTTTCTATTGTCTGTGGAGTCGACGGATTTGTTTTTTTTTCCCATAGTTTCCTCGTAACTTTACTAAATAGATACTTGAGGTCTCAGCGATGCATGTCTGCTGGAAATGAATAGACTGATTTACTGACTTGGAGATATAAACAAGTGAAAAACACGGCTGACTTATGTCTTGCGATGACAACAAGCATAATTGCTCGGCTTTGAAATACGTTGTTTTGTCAATTTGTATGGAAAATCTGACGCTCCAGTTATGGCCTCTCAGCCAATCACATCTTTTCGGCTCCCTTAATCATCTTTAACCTTTTTAAACTAGCAGACAGTGTAATAAGCAGGACAGTGTCACTATTCATTTAATCTGACGGTCCAGAATCTGCGTGGAACAGCTTGTGAGTGTGTAAAGAAGGCAAGGTCAATTACATCCAGCTGTATCGGAAGATCCAAATAATTAATGAAGATACACTGTGCGTGAAAAATTACGTCCTGTGCATCTCAAAGTTGGACACTGCAGATGCATGGCACATAATCCTGCTGCTCAAGTCTATAAATAACAATCTAAAAGAGCAGATTCATTTCCACACCAGGTACAAGTAGGATTACTTGCAGAAGGCCAAGTCTGTGCTCCGAGGCAGGAAAACTGTTGCGAGGTTGTACCAACAATAGAAAAAATATTGTTCATTATTGCTTTTTTCCCTCAGCATTAGCTATAACCAGCTGGCAGGAAATTGATGATTTGTGGTGCTTCGACGTCTTCATAAGCGGTACAAATCACAATGTTTATCTTTGATAAACACACAAAGGATTACATTACATTGCATTACGTAGCTCAATATGGGCTTCGTAGATCTAAAGGATAGGAACAGGGGGATAATGGTAAAAATGTATGGGTACAGCAATTAAATTAAAGCTATGATGAGTAAAATGTCACAAAAGAAAGCCCAGAGTTCAGTATTTGATTATCTTTTGTTCCATTTTTAGGTTTCCTCTCTTTTAGGCCTTTGCATCTCACATTTTATCATGGTAGTCCAAAAGCACAGTTCATACAATTCACAGTGGTTCTGGGTTCAAATCCTGGCATGGGTCTGAACCCAGGATTTGAACCCAGACCATTTCACTTACATTTCTCACTGATTCACTATTTGCAAACATCACCAGGGCTACAACACTTCAAGTCGACCAATAAGACACTATTTGATCAATTTTCATTGTGCCCCTAAAGTTCTTTGTGTGCTCCTTACTTTTTCAACTTCAGAGCACATCTGCTCCTTGTGAAAAAAGTTAGTGTTAAGTCCTGGGTCTATAACACAGGTTCAGACCCAGGCCAGGATTTGAGCCTATAACTATTTCACTGATTGGCAGCCATTCAACCCAACCTGCTATTGACCTGGCTGTCAATATTTGCATTTTTAGATCTTTTCACCTCACATTATGGTTGTTCAAAAACACAACTCATACAACAGCTAGATACATATGTGTAATTTCTGCACCACATGGTTAGACTAAGACCAGGATTTGAACTCAGAACCACTGTACACTTTCTTAACTTCACTTCTGAACTACCCCGGTAAAAATGTGAAATGAAAAGAACTCAAAAAGCAAACGCTGACAGTCAGCTGGTGGTGTAGTAGTCCTTTTGTCAGATAAAGCAATCACAGAGACATAAATTTGTGACCAGAGGTCATGGCAGACTACACAGACACACAAGTGACATGATGACAAAGGAGGAAGTTATTTTTTTTAACTTTGTTCTCAAATTTTGACATTTCCCTTGAGCTCCAAAATGAAAATAAAAACGTCTTGAGGTTTTTTTTCCCTCATTCCTTGCTCTGATGCTCCTCCATAGTAAAATATTTCAGGACCCCCATTAAATACTACCTTTTTTATGTGGGTGTCAGTTATAGACATGCATTAAAGATCTCAAATTTTCGGTTAACAGCAGCTGTATTGCACCAGTATTGCTACTCCTGACATAAAAGAAGCTGGCTGTGACAGTTTGATATCACAGATGCCGACATAATGTGGAATAATCTTTCCTTATTCTGAAACTTCATGTTTGCAATCCCAGATGCAACATAAAGAAACCACCTGTTTTCAGCCAAGCTCCCATTTGGGTGTTTCTTTCATCAGTTGATGTGAGAGTAGTTGAAGATGAAGTTTTATAGCATGCTGTTTTTAATGAAAAAGTTGGCAGGTCTGTCAGATTCACATTGATTTCATCTCACAGTTTGCAGTTTGGCACTTTGTCAATATTTTCGGAATAAATCTGCCGTGAACATCGCGACTCCTAGGAGGTGATTAATTAATCCTCACATGGATTTCAAGACGAACCAATTTGCAAAAGTGTGGCTGTAACATCTCTATGGGAACATATTAAAAGATTATCTTATATCCCAGGACTGTTTTTTATTCTCCACACTTCACAGCAGGACTACTTTGTTCTTCTGTGAAAACCAAGGATCAAAGAGAGAGTTATTGCTCACAAAGTTTTAATGGACCCTCCTCCTGGTGCTTTATTTCAGGTTATAGGAACAGCTGCATTGATTCTGTGCATCCTGGCCATAGTTGATCCACACAACAACTCTACTCCCAGAGGTCTGGAGCCCTTCACTATCGGCATAGTGGTGTTGGTCATTGGTTTGTCGATGGGCTTCAACTCAGGCTATGCTGTCAACCCAGCCAGGGACCTGGGACCACGTATCCTCACAGCACTGGCAGGCTGGGGTTCAGAGGTTTTCATGTGAGTATGAGATAACTTAGACTAGACTGTGCTGATAAACCAGTCAAACGAATACTTGAAAAACTGACAATGTAGACTAACTACTTCGAAAAAAATCCAGCTTTTTGTTAAGAAAATGAAAACTGACGAAAAGAGAAAGAAGGGTGCTGTGAAGGATCCCACTTTTGGGGTACTTCAAGACAGAAATGGGTACCCCTGTACTTGAAGGTTCTAAAACCAGACCTTACGGGGGACCTTACAACCAGAATTTATTTTGAGACAGACTTACTGAGTGACTTCTAGTCCCAAGGGTCTTCTGGACATCAAGGGGTACCTCAACACATGAGGGTACTTCATGATGAATCTAAGAGGGGAGCTCAACACTAAGGGGTACTATAAAATCAACCACAAAGGGAACCTTTGTGTAGGGTACTTGCAAAGAGACTCGAGTGCATACCCTTACCCTAACCACTTAGGGTACCATAAAACGGTTTCAATAGGAACTCTAGCATTTAGAGTCCTTTGAGACAGGTACATAACACTGAAAGGTAGACAGACTTCAAATAAAACCCAAAACTTGAGAGTACTTTGAGGCGGACTACAAAGGCCACCTCTAAATCCTAGGGTTCTTAAAAACAGAGAGCTAATTGAGTCTCAACTTCCAAAGGTCTTTCCTCTTACATCAAGGTACCTTAAAACCCAATGGTTCTTTGAGACAGATCCTAAAGGGTACTTCAAAACTTGGGATGGAACTCAAGGGTATCGCAACCCCCCAAAAATGACCGACTTTAAACCCAACTTGTAAACTTCAGGGTGTATTGGAGTAGACCACAAATGGCACCTCAAAACTAAAGACTACCTTAAGCCAAATCTGCAGGGATACTGCAAAACCAAACAGCTACTTGAGAAAACACCTAAAAGGGTACCATTTAACCATGAAAAAGTTAAAAGACTTAAAACAAAACTTTTGAAACTTAAGAGTAATTTACAGTCGACCACAATCTGTACCTCAAAGCCTAATGGTAACACAAGAGGTAACTCAATACTTTTAGAAAAGACCTCAAAGGGGACCTTGACACTTAAGGGTGTTTAAAAACAAACAGAAGTATCTCAACTTTCAGAGGATTTAACTCCTTAATTAAAGGTACTTTGGTACTCTTTGAGACAGCCCTCAGAGGGTACCCCAAAACCAAAGAGGTACTTGATGAAAACTTAAATCGGTATCCCAAGACAGACCACAAAGGCAAACTTTAAACTCACCCTGAAGTCTGAAGGATTGTTTGAAGTGGACCTCAAGAAAAACAACAATGCTAAAGGTCACTCTGAGACAGACCTGGTTGGATAACCCAAAATCAAGGGACCATAAAACAAGAGCCTAACAGTTCCCCTTTTGTGTCTCTATCAGCTACAAAAAAGACTTTCACAAATTGCACAAAAAGGAGCCTCTCCACCACAAACCTTCACTTCAGCATCTGCATCCTGGATAGAGCTGATTAGAGTCGTACAAAGCATCCACTGCGGTTCTTGTTATTACATCTTTTGATCAAGCAAACATGAACCAGAACAGTTCCCTCTCTCTCTCTCTTTATACGAAATCTCTCAATGTTAAAGGTTTTAGACTAATTTAAAAACACACTTGAGGGATAATAAATTGAAGTGCATACTTAGTTACTCATTCATTTGCATTTCTATTGTGTGTGTTTTTTTAGCGCCCCTTTAAACATTTTAAAATGAGAGTGCCTTGATATCGACGTGGTTCACATGCCTTCTGACCCCCGACATCAATAGCCTCTGATATGCACTCATATTTTATTCAGGACTGTTACACGGAGTAAATTGAATGCAAAATTCAAAACGACACCATGCATCATGGTTTTTCAATTTGTTCTCTTGCAGAGCGAACACCCACTGGTTCTTTGTGCCTCTGTGTGCCCCCTTCTTGGGTGCAGTGGTGGGTGTGCTGATGTATCAACTAATGATTGGATACCATTTAGAAGGAGAGGCGCAGGATGACCAGAAGACGAAGGAGGAGGAGGAAGAGGAGGAGGAGGAAAGGTTTAAACTCTCCAATACTGCAACCAACAGAGATATATGAGGACTGTCAAATGGCTTTTAGAAATTATGATGTGTTGAATGATTCAATCATGTTAAGTATAACACTTTAATCTATAACTTTTAAGTCGACTTATGCATTGCCATGACGACATGAACGCTTAGAGCATCTCTAAACAAACAGGAATAGTTTCCGCGGCTGTGATAGCACATGTTTTTGGAGTCCATCTCCACGAAACTCCACTAAGCTCTTTCATTTCAAACTATTTCCACCCTGGCTGCGTCCCTGACAAAACAAATACATCAGCTCGCAGGAAAAAAAAGCTCAAACAAAGACATTCAGAGCTGAAGAGGTATTTGAAGAGCGCTTGTTTAGAGCTTGTCGAAGGTAGAAAAATCTTGAAATCGCCCTCGAATAAAAAAAAAAAAAACATCACTCACACTGGCATTTTCCTCCTACAAAGTCTTTCATTTGGATAAACAGCCACCACTGAAGGGTTCCTGCGCCAGAATCCAGTTTCCCTCTTGCTTGTGTTTAATTAATCAGACATGCTTGTCAAAAAATGCAACCAAAATCAGAAGTTTGGGTTGTGGTTTTGAAAGTGTTAGAGGCACCACTTAACACCGAGCGTTATCTGATGTTTACCTAATTAAGAATAAATATCGGTGCAAGTGCGATCCTGTCAATAACTCTGACTTTGAATGAGCTTCAGAGATATTCAGACATTGACGTGAACACGTTTTTAAAAGTTTCTTAACTTAAAGTTCCGACTTTTCCTCTAAAAGATGAAATATTGGAGGTAGATGCCTCTTATTGTAAGGTGCAAACAGTAAAATGAGCTGCAGGGCTTTAATTATGACGGGAATGAGAATCAATGTGGTACCCGTAAAAAGGAATGAGCCAGAAGCTCACTAATTAGCCTAATAAATAAATAAATAAATAAAGCTTTATTCTAACTGCAAAATAATAGAGACAGTTTTAGGCCTGTTTGACAAAAGTCAGCAAAGACCTGGTTTTCAGCTGGTCCTGTAGCTTGTCCTGACAGGTTACCCTGTGGTTTGACTTAACTTTCATGATAATACTCAGAAAAATTAACGGTAGACTTTAACTCATAGTAGAGCAGGAGTTTCACACAGTTATAGGTGGACTATCTAACTTAAGTGTTCCCAAAACAAAAGGATCTGAGCTCTGAGGATGTTTTTGTTGTTGTGTACATGTTGATGTGGCATTTTTCCAATGCTTACCCTAACCCAAAGGCAGGTTTAGACACAGTGAGATCTCCTACGTCATAACTCCAAGCTTTGCCCCAGGCACCCCACTCTGCAGGCCAGACTGCAAGAAGTAGAGAGGACGATTACGGAACTAGCACGTGCATTAACGGATTGCAACGCTCATTTGAAAGCTAGGTATGATATTAACGTTCATCTAGGATGACCATACGTCCTCTTTTACCCGGACATGTCCTCTTTTTCGGGGGCTGTCCGTGCTGTCTGGCTTTGTCCGGCTTTGTCTGCGGAAGTTTATAAAATCCTTCAAATGTCTGCAAAATTGTACGTAAGTTTAGAGTTTGTGTCACATTGACTTACTGAGTTAGAAGCACGTTAAAGACAATCTGACCTGAAAAACTCTTTAAATTAACTTGTAGTTACTCCATGTAGTCGTGTCCTCTTTTTGAGAAGTCAGAATATGGTCACCCTACTTTTATCATGTCCCCAAAGACATTAGTGTCTCAGAGTTGAATAGCCCCTATGTAACCTGCTACCTCTACTACACGCAATGTTAGGCTACAAGCTAGCATGAAGAGGACTGTACAGAGCAGTGCTGTCTCCGCCCACGATTCAGAGGCAAATTGCTAATGAGCTACTGGAGCTCTGCAGAAGAAAAGCCCTTGAAAATTACACAAAACTAAACTTAAAACTTCATAATCACAATTTAAAGACCACTGATAACACTTTAAGTAGTAAAAGAAAGACGGTAAGAGTGGGACTTAATCTCTACTTAAAGGTGGGGTAGGCAGGAATCCGTTAAAGAAGCATCTTTTTTTGTGGTGTATATACAAAAAACTTTTAATATCAGTTAATAGCTATTAGTTTTTGATGACATTTGGTAATATAACGATATCGCTGTGGTCTGTTATGTCTGTGTAGTCAACATTTTAAAGTTATTGAGCGGCCCGCACTTTCTGACTGTAAACAAAGCCATTCTCCACCTCCACAACCTGATTGGTTGTGCGGCGGACACTGCTCCTTAGTGCCGTTCGGGTGTCAGGCAGACGCTGCTCCCCCTGTGTTATTCACGAGCCCAAACAAAGTTAGCGTGCTACAATATCAGACAGTAAAAACCAACCAGAAAGAACAGAAAATTGTCTGAATCCTCCTTTGACCACAGCTGCCAACACAAGCAAGAGAAAGAAGTAAATACCGGGAACTCTGGCAGAATAATGATTGCTTAAAAAGCCAGGCAAGAGCCACAAAGCCGGGTCAACATAGCATAAATGATGGGGAACGCTTCTGGATCTGGACCCTGTAACCTTTCTGCTGGACGGGTAAACCGCTTTAATAAAGTTAGCCAAGTGTCTGTGACAGAAGTGTTTCTTGTCAAACGGGACCTGCTGCGTGTTGTAGTGCCGCTAAACTGTTTACCTCGGGTCCTGGACTAGGTCACTTTATCCTAGTTGTAGAAGTCCTGCAAACATTGTGTTTGCTGGTAGTCTGTTGGCATCTACATTAGCACCAATGCTTTTTACTTTCATGTTGACAGGGCCCCATTTGTAATCATCTTAAGTATTTATCTGCATTATATCTGAATTCAATTGAAACAATACGAGCGAGCAGGAGCGTCTGTTTGTGGGCGGGGCTTGCTGGAGCAGAGAAGGAGGAGAGAGGAGGAGCTGAGGGGAAAACTGGTTGGGAGGGATAGTATTTACATTAAAGATTTCTCCCAAAAACTGTCACTTCCTCAGATCCTGACTATCCCACCCTTAAGAATACAAGTGCATCTATGACTGTATTTTAGCACTGGCCTCATCGTCTTTAATCTTTGTGTCGAAGGTGAAGAAACCTAAAAAGTTCTGGGTAGTTTCAGATCTTATTCATAAATAAGTTTTCTAGTTGTGCAGCATTCATCATGCGATACTTGTCCTTTCAGATCAGTGTTTCATACTGGAGTGCCTGCTGGCCTTGGTGGAGGTTTTATGCTTTTCGAGTGCTCTTGTAGCTTTTAATATCACTGTTTTTCTGTGGAATAATAACTATTTGTTTGACCTTAGATCACTGGGAATGATTCATAGATCATTCATTTCCAGTTTCAAGTCTTTTTCTATTTTCTATTTTCTAATTACGTGGATAGTTATCATCACAAACATTCAAGCACAACAAAAAAGAAACTCAACATTCTACAAAACCAATCCCGGCTGATAAAACGTGCAGTTTTAATCAAACACTAGATTTTCTTACACTTTCTCGCAGGCACATCCCCACCAGTCTAACTTGAATTATGATTCTTGCAGCATGGTGTCATCATAAGGTTATTTAAAACTGATATATAAGGCCTAGCAGGAATCTATCATGTGATTGACTGTAACTTAACCCTAATTATGTAAGCTTGTACAGTTAAAAGTGCTAAAAAATAGAAAAAAACATGGTTGAATTAAAGCGAGAGACTAAAAGGAAAGTTTCTTCACGTGCACAGGCTTGCCTCAGAGACTCACTTGCATGCAAATGGTGACATTTGCTACAGAATAAATGCCCTCCAAAGTGTTAATATTCCCCCCTTTTGGTTCCTGGTGCCTCAGGTGGTTATCACTGTTAAAAATTCGATTTTTTGGTTTGAAAGGGCACTAAGGGCAAGAAAGGTCAGGGGTATTTGCTCGAAATAACACTCTCACTTCCATTACGCAACAAAAGACCCACACACACATATCTCAGAAGTTCACATCTCTGAACCAATGTCTTTCACAGGCGGCCACAAACGCTCTATTACCATTATCAGAGAAATGAAGCGACATTCTGCATCAAAACATCAGTAATGACATTTTCTGAGTCTGGGCAAGAATATCAATCCATCAGATCTCACAAAGGCTCAAACTTCAGAGACGGCTGTTTGACATTTGGAGTCCCTCTTTGGCGTGACCTTTGCAGCAGTTCACCAAACATATCTGGTGTCAATCTAACCGTTTGCATGGGAAATTACAATTTCCCTTTCCTTTTTTGACTTGCAGAAGAGAATCAGAGCAAGCAGCGGGACTTTGATTCCGCTTTTATGGATGCAACAATAAAACAAAAGAGAAGTGGGAAGAAAAAAAAAAAAGTTCCATTTCAAATATGACAAGGTCTGATGATTTGAAAACCACAGAGTAAACCCGTATTCGCTCTTCATTTCCTATGCATTAGACGCAGTCGTCTATGGACGCTGAGGCAGAAACAACATGGCAGAAATGAAAAATGTTATCTATGACCAGAGAATAAAATCAGCAACATGAGCTGCAAGAGTAATAAGAACCTTGTCCATAGCTGACAGATTTGTTTGTAGTCTTATGAGGTGTTGCATCACATACAGCGCTCAGTATCAAATATAAAAACATGTTCGCACACAGGTGCAAAGCTTTCATTTTAGGTTAAGCATGCATAACATTAAACGGCATGGTCAGACTACTCCCTTTCTTCTGTCTCACAGGTGTTTGCGTGCAGGCAAAGCTTGGGCAACAGCTCCCCCATGTGGTCAACTGAGGAAAGCCAGTGTTTTGAATACAAGGTGGTGATTCAAAAACACCACTTTGGCAGATTGAAAAAGGTTTATTAACCTCTTTTAATTTGACCAAAATTAACTCTGCAATCCCCTCTGCTACTTCTGTGGAGTATCCAATAAAGCTAAAACTACTTCAGATGGGTTTTCCAACGTGGGGAGTGACTTCTTATAAAGTTTTGTTCAAGACTAATGTTCTTGTCTGTCTTCTTCTGTCATCCGTCTTATGTGTTAATCTTCCCTACATCTGTTGAAGGCTAATAAATCCAAGTTATCTATATTATTAATGACAGTGTTAGTCACGCCCTCCTTATTAATTTCAACCCAAACAAAC